GGGCCGGTCCAAGATGGCGGCGGCGGAGGAGGCCTCCCTCCTCTCTTCTCGTCTCTGGCGCCGACCCGCCCCCGAGCCCCGAACGGAGGCCTATGATTGCTCCTGCGGCACGTCGCTCTTGCCCCTCGGACGCGCTCTATTGGCTCTTGGCAGGGATGCAGCCGGCCCCCTCTTGCCGAATGGGCAATCGCTCCAAGGCGCGGCGTTCGATTGGCCTCCCGCGCAGACTGCTAGGATTGGCTCTGGTTTTCTTCCCCGCTCCTCCTCCTCCCCGCCTCAGGGCACAACACGCCAGCGCGAGGGCCCGTGCGTCAATCAAGAGACCATTGGCGTGCTGATTGGATACACCCGCCCCCCTCTCCTAAACTAATTGGTCGGGGGGAGGAGCTAGGCTGATCAGGGGCGGGAAGTCGTCCGTCAAGTTTAGAGCCATTTTTAATTGGTTCTGAGGGGATATTCTGCCCCGCAGCCATTGGTTGGCTCCGGAAGTGGGTGGGGAAAGCGGAGGAAGGCATGGAGCGTGGGCGTTAAAGGCAGAGCACCTAATGAGAGCGAGACAGGTACCTTCAAGCAGGGGCCGAGCTGGAGTCGTCTGCCACTCAAAACAGCCCTGGGGCCACCGGGGAGGAGCTGGGCAAGAGGGCCCACCCCCTTCCCCTCGTTGGCCCTGGCCGTTGCCATTCGCCCCAGCGTATCCTGCAACGCCGCGAGGGGGTTGGTACCCGCCCCTGAAGCGTGTGAAACGGGGCGTAGCAGGCAGCGTCGTCTCCTGGACACATCCTTCCGCATCCCTTGTGTCCCAGCTGCGTCGTCTTCCTGCAAGTGTCTGTTGGGCATATCTCTGAGTCTCTGTACGGTGAACGGAGGGAAGGAAGCAGTGGCCAGTGCCCCAAGTCACTGGCACCTCGCATACCCATGGCAAGGGCATGGCGTTTCTGTCCTGCCTCGGCCTAGTTGTGCGGTTACTGTGGGGCACTGTCCTCCGCAGCCCGCTTCCTCGGTGTTGTGGGTACGCTGCAGAAGGGACAGAGGGGGCTACCCCGTCCTCTCCCGCTCTCTGCTCTGCGCTCCAGCGGCGAAGACTTGTCGACCTCGTGTGCAGGATCCACTTTTGCACTTCTACCGTCGTTTCCACGATAATTCCAGTTTGCCTTTCTGGGGTTTGCGTTCGCAGAAGTACAGTGACTTGTTTGCTGAATGAATACTTGGGATGAAGTGTGGTTGACGACTCGGTAGGCGGTGGTACCCGAACCACCCACGAGGTATTTGCTCCGGGTCACATAGTCAATACATAAAAAAGATAAACCCAAGGAAGATGCAATTAAGAGCCGCATCTGAATCATCTGACAAGGCGAGATGACTAAAAATGCAGTGTTCTTAGGCCCACACGGACCTGAGGAGTGAAGCCTAGAGATCTGCGCTTTTACACACTTCCCTGGGTGATTCCCATGCTTACTGGGGTTTGAGAGTCATTCATCAAGAGCTTCGCTCTTCAAAGTGTGGCCCTTGGATGGAGCAGGGCCTCTCAGAGGTCTTGGGAACCATTTGAAGACTTGCTAAAATGCAGATTCTGGTTCAGGAGGTCCCAGATTCTGGTTTTTGACAAGTTTCTAGGTGATGCTGATGGTCCACACTTCGCACTTTTGAGTAGCAAGGATTCAGATCAGTGGTTCTCAAACTCGGCTGCAATTAGAATCACCTGGGTGGCTTGGAAAAAAAAGCCAGACACTCAGGGCTTACCCTAAATGAATGAAATCTGAATTTTCGAGGATATGAACCAGATAGTAATTTTTAAATCTGCTTAGATGATTCCAACATGCAGCTAATCTAACAGAATTTTATGGAGCAGTGGGTTCTCAGTGACGTACCTGGACCAGCAGCATAAACATCACCTGGGAACTTATTAGAAATGCACATTTTTTAGCTCCCCCATAGACCAACTGAATCAGAAACTCTGGGCCCTGAAACCCTGGTTTTAACAAGCCATCCAGGTAATTCTCAAGCATGTTCAGTTTTGGGCATCTCTGTTCCAAGACTATGCAGGACTGCAGCACCAGGTGACTCCGATTCTTTCTTGACTCTGGCCATGGAGGTGGAGGCTCTGAAGAGGGCGGGCAGAGCGCCCTCCCCCGGGCAGACCCATCAGCAGAGATCAGCAAAGGCTGTCACTTCCAAACAGGGCTCATCTAAAGACTCCAGGATAGGGGCACCTGGGTGGCTCAGTCGGTTAAGCGTCCGACTTCAGCTCAGGTCACGATCTCGCGTCCGTGGGTTCGAGCCCCGCGTCGGGCTCTGGCCAGATGGCTCAGAGCCTGAAGACTGCTTCCGATTCTGTGTCTCCCTCTCTCTCTGCCCCTCCCCTGTTCATGCTCTGTCTCTGTCTCAAAAATAAATAAAAAACGTTAAAAAAAAAATTTAAAGACTCCAGGATAAACATGGGGACACAGCTAAGCGATCTAGGTAATTTGGCCGGCCACTAGAAGGATCCCCCAGGGTGATGTAGACTCTGATGTGAGAGAGGAGACTCAAGAGAGCTGCTAAGGTCCACAGACTGAGCCCTGAACTGAGACACACTTAGAACAAGTGTGATGGGGGGCGGCCCAGAGAGAGGAACAGGAAGGGAGATCTCAGCTAGGACCCAGCCGGCTAGAGCCCCAGGGAGAGAGCGAGAGATGGAGGGGGGAAGGCGGGCACAGGTGCGGGGCGGGCTGTGCACCCACCTCCTGGGTAACTAAGAGGGGCACTGCCCTCACGGGTCAGTGACCAGGCTCCGGCACTCTGTGAAACCCGGCTCCAGAGCACAGCAAACGGCCCCCGTGTGGGGCTCTTCCTGAATTATCTCTTGCAGGGTAGCTGCTGGGACTGCTTCTGCTGCCAGCGTTGTCCCCACCTGCCTATAGGCCACGTGCCCCTCAGCCAAAGTGAAGGAGACCTTGGCTGAGCCCCGGTTCCAAGACAGCCTGGGGGCTCCACTTGCTGAGCTGGCAGGAACTCTGACAGCACTGAGTCCCTGCCAGCAGGGAGCCTGTGTGCTCGGCCCCATCGGGGCTTGGCTCACCACTCCACACACTGGACCGACAGGAAGCCCAACACCGAGCAGGTCCTGGGCGTCCTTCACGTCCTCACGAGGGACCTGTGGCATGGAGGCTTGCACACCTGAGACCCCACAGCCACCCCGGCTGGCCTGTTTTCAGGGCTGGGGCTTTGGGCAGCCATATCACTTGGGAGCATCAAAACAATGGACATTCTCCAAGTGGTCTGGAGACAGAGAGGGCTCTGCTCTTCCTGGAATCCAGGACAGGGAAGCAAAGGGCCAGGGTGGGGCCCAGACACCACCTGGATCGGGAGCCCCAGCTTTGTCCCCCAAGCCCCACAGCGGACTCCTCCAGTCGTGCAGGTGTTTGACAAATGATCACTCCCCAGGAACAGAACCTGATAATGTGCTTTTAATTGCACTTTTTCCAAAAGTATCTCCCTTTCTAGGTAAAAAAGATGAAGCGTGATGAAGACTGGCTCTATCCCCCAAGATGGGGAGGCCGTCTTGGCGCTCAGGGGGCCGGCTCCTCCCATGCCTCCTCGGACAGTCCTGGCGCGGGGCTGCTGAGGGACACTCCCAGCGCGATCCTGACCCGGGTCCCTTCAGAAGGGCAGGGCCCGTAGCTTCAGGGGCAGCCACCTGGGCACAGTCCCTCAGGTGGACATGATGCCGCTCTTCTCACCCTTGACCTTGAGGAACTCGGCCATGCTGGAGAAATACTTCTGGTTGGCCTCGGCCACCTTCTTCTCGGCTGCTTGCGGGTTCACAATCTCCAGGCCCTGGGCAGGCGGGGGAGGTGACGATGGGGTGGGGAGCTGGGCTGGCCGCTGACAGGTCCCCACCACCCCCCCCCCAAGTGAGAGGATCATGAAATGTCAGGGAGCCCTTCTCAATGGTCCTGGGGCTCCAGGTGATGAGGACAGTTTGCCAGTCACCAAACTGCCCCCGCCCCAAAGGAGGACCTGGGCATCTGAATATTTAACAGGTCCTCCAGGTGATTTTAAAAACATAGTATCAGAACAGCCAACCCGGGGGGCGCCTGGGTGGCGCAGTCGGTTAAGCGTCCGACTTCAGCCAGGTCACGATCTCGCGGTCCGTGAGTTCGAGCCCCGCGTCAGGCTCTGGGCTGATGGCTCGGAGCCTGGAGCCTGTTTCCGATTCTGTGTCTCCCTCTCTCTCTGCCCCTCCCCCGTTCATGCTCTGTCTCTCTCTGTCCCAAAAATAAATAAAAAACGTTGAAAAAAAAAAATTAAAAAAAAAAAGAACAGCCAACCCGGTTTGGTTCCTGAGTAAGGAAACTGAGTCACAGTGAAGTGGCTCCCCTGCCGCCGTGGTGCGAATCACACCAACCCCGGTAGGGACAGTGACCCGCGCTGGGGGCCCCACAGTGGCTGGCACCTTTCCCAGTATCCTCCACACGGTAATCCTCACCTTGCGGCTGAGGCCTCCCTGGGGGCCTCCAACCTGACCCCTCACCCCCTCTTCTCCGTGCACTTTCCACTTTCCGACAGGCTGTGTATCTTACCTACCTGACCTGCCACCCCATAAGGTCCACAAAGGCAAGGCTTACTGCCTGGTGTCTGTGGTTTTACCCCCGGCCCTTCCAACGGTGCAGGGGACTTAGGTGCTCAGTAGACCCTTGCTGACAGAGGAAAGCTGTTCTGTTTGATGCCGTGGCACACACCAGCCCTCTTTTGTGGGCACGTAAGCCAAGGAAGGGACGGACGCAGTGGCTCCATCCTGTGCACTGGCCGGGCTGGGACCTCACCCTCCCAGCCAGCTATGAACCTTCTTAGGAGGGCCTGCGGTTGTCCCAACCACCCAGCACCTCAGGGAGGGGCTGAGCCCGCTTGAGGTCACAGGGTCGCCCACAGCCTGAGTCTAAAGCCAGCCTGGGCTTGCTGGCAGGACCGTGTCCCTTCTGTCCCTGCTAACTTGAGCACCGGGGGGCCATGCCCTCCAGGGGCTTCACTGATGCCCCGTCCGCACCAGCCCCGTGAGGAGCTCGATCATGTGGCTGTCTCGCAGGAGAAGAGGCTGAAGCCCAGGGCTGCTGCGAAAGCTGGGAGTGGAGCCGCCTGACTCCGGCGTCCAGTACCTGGAGTGGGGTGAAGGCCACACTGGAGGCTGTCCCTGAGGAACGGTCGCGGATGGTGGACTTCCCTCCGTACACCACACTCTGCTTCTGCAGTGTCCGCTGTGGGGAGGTGGGGGCAGGGGACGTCTGGGCTTGCCCCGGGCTTGCCCACCGGTGCCCCCTCACCCCTGGACCCGCCCAGGCCTGGTCTGTACCTGCAGTGTCTTGGAGATCCTGGCTTTGGTGGCCTCGTTCACCTGTGTCTGCCGTACCCGCCCGCTGCCTGATTTGCCCAGATGGCCCAGGCTGAAGCCCAGGTCCTCCTGGTAGGCGTCCTCCTCGATCTGGTGGGAGGAGAAGGCATCCCGGAGTTAGCCACCCTCCATCAGCTAGACACCCGGCCGTTCAACTGATTCAGGTGCCTGCGGGGCCAAGATGACCCCCGAGAGGGGCCGTGCGTGCACGCATACGCGCGTGCACGGCGTCAACAACCGAAGCCGGGCTCGCACACCAAAGGACACTCGAGCTAGTTCTTGCAGGACCAGCAGGGTGATGCTCAGAGAGGAGAGTGGCGGAGGTGAAGCCAGGGGAAGGACATGTACGGGAAGGGCGGGGGGCAGGGGGGATAGGGCCGGCACAGAGTGCTGTGTAGGGGTGCATGGATGTCGGGGAGAGACCGGAGGTGGGCGTAGTGCCCCAGCAGAGAGGAGAAACGTGGCAGGGGACAGAGGGACAGCGCTTGTGACAAAGAAGACCCCTGAGGCCCCGCAGTGGGAAAGGGCGAAGTATCTGGGTCGGGGTTCTGACCTCTCCAAAGCTCATACGGTTGGCCTGCTTCCGGATCTCAGTCAGCCCCAGCCGCTCCTTCATCTTGCGGTACCTGGGGATGGGCACTGGGGATCAGCTGGGGGGTGAGCCCCTTCCCTTTCCCTCCCCCTGACCCCGGGCCTCGGGACCCACCTGCGGCCGCCTCGCTTCTTGCGCTGCCCGTCCAGGGGCGCGGGCAGCGGCTTTACCTGCTTCACAGGGGGTGGCTCCTGCCACTTGTCAAACTTCCGCTCGATCTCGTCCTTCAGCTCGTAGCCCACCTGGGGAGGGCGCGAGGGTCCCATCAGGGCCTGGGGGACCCACCCGCTCTCGGGCCCAGACTCCTCACTGCACTACACACACAACTGTCTCCTCGATGCAGGTGCAGGCAGCCCCTCAAATGCAACACAGCCAACCCCAGGCCCGCGCCTCCTCCCCAGCCTTTGGCCCCAGCCTCTGCAAGTGGGGTCACCCGGGAGCCTCACCTCTATGCTTTCTCTCCCAGCAAGCTCTTCCTTCAGAGAGACCCCAAATGCCACCCCCCTCCAGCACCTCTGTTGCAGCGAGGTCTCTGCAGGACCCACCCCGCCCCACCGCCAGGCTGGGGCGTGCGCACTGGCTGCTCCCTCCTCCTGGGTCTCTTCCCCCAGGCACTCACGGGAGCTGCTTGCTAGCGTGACCCAGGTGTACGTGCGTTACACCTTCACCTCTTCAGAGAAGCCCCCCCGCCCCCGACATCCTGGTTAAACAGCGCCCACCTCCCCCACCAGCCCGGCACCCTTTGACCCCTACTCAGCAGTGACACGGCGCCCCTGGACACAGCACAGATGTCCCTGGCCCCCTCGCCCTGCCCCCAACCAGAACGTGCATGCGCACACAGGGCTTTGGTCTGAGCGGCTCACTGCGGTACCCCCAGCATCTCGACCAGCGGTTGAGAGGAAGAGAGAAAGGAGGGAGATCACAACCCTGAACGCTGTGCCAGGCTGGGTGTCTGGACGCCAGTGCACAAGACACAAAACACATCCCCTTTCACAGAGCGGGTCTGCTGAGGAACACAGAGGCGAACTGAATGACGGTCTGGATGGTGACAGGTCCCGGTGCAGCAGGCAAAACCGCCCCACCAGGGTGTCCACATCCTCGTCTCCGCTCGGGATGGAACTTTGTGGGTGTGATCAGGTGAGAAATGTGAAGACGGGAGATGATCTAGATGGCCAGCGTGGGCCCCACGTCATCACCGCGTCCTTAAAGGAGTCAGAGGAGGACCCGTGGAGACAGGCCTCGAGTCAGGGAGAGACAGAAGACGCCACGCTGCCAGCAGTGTGGACGGAGGAGGGCTGCGAGCCCCGGGCAGCAGGCGCCTCCAGAAGCTGGGAAAGGCAGGGGGCGGATCCTCCCCAAGAGCCTCCAGAGGGAACGCTGTGCCAGCACCTGGATCTCAGCACAGCGGGACCCTCGGCGGACTTCTGACCCACAGGGCTGGACGACGACACTAATACACGACACACCCCCCTCCACACACTTAGAACAGTGCTCGTGTGTGCTGGGTCCCCTGATGGTGCCTCCCCCCAGGACACAGGACACACCACAGACCCACACAGACGCCCGCCCGTGCCTCACCTTCCCCTCTGTGCTCTCGTGGAAACTGTCCACGCGGGCTGCCAGCGTGCACTTAGCCGCCACCAGCCGGGCCGCTTTCCGTCGGAGATCCTGGAGCAGCAGGAAGGGGCAGAGTCAGTGAGAGAATTCGTTTGAGAGCCCTGAGCATTTCAGAAACCACAGGCACCAGGGCTCACCCTCTGCCCACAAGCACTTCACCGTCCCTGCCACGCGTTACCGTGAAAACCTGTAATAACGTGTTACCGCAACAAACTATCATCATTGCTGTTTTCTTTCAGCCCACTTTTCAAAACCTTGAGCCCCTTTGCACAGACATCTATATTACTGCAGTGGAAGACTGTCACATACTAAAAAGAAAGTGATTAAAATAGAACACATCCATCTGTGCATCAGAAAATCGTGTCCTGTGCCACGAAAGGCAGGTGGCCCATGATCTGAGATGCACCAAGATGGCACACGTAAACCCACAGCCATGTCTCGATAAATAACGACAATAAAGTTGGCAGTGGCTTCGCGTGGCGAAAAGCAGCCTTGCCCTAAGAGTTCCGGCCTGGCCCTCAGCTCTGGGAGGTAACCTTTGTTGGCCTGGGACCTTGGACAAGGCAGAGACCAACCATGTGAGACACTCAGGGGGGTGTCTGGGTTACAGGATCTCAGTCAACCTGGAACCCAGATCAGCCACCTGGGCTACCCAGTCAGGTCTACACAACTCAACCCCAGAGAAGACTCCCAACTTGGAGGCCCAGTGGGGCTTCCCTGGTGGCAGTTCCCCCGCACGCTGTCACGTGTGGAGGCCGGGAGTGACGTGGGCAACGGGGAGAGGAGGTCTGGAAGTGCCGTGGCTGCTACTTCTGGCTCCGACCCCACTCACTTCCTCCCTTGGCTGCTGGGAGTCTGTCCTTTCGTGACAAACCACAATTCAAGTGCGTCAGCTCAGTGAGTCTGCACCTCCCTCTAGTGGGTTATTGAAGCTGGGGGTGGTTTGGGGACCCCTGCACCTCACAAGCTAATGCTTATGTTGTTTCTTATGTGCAAGCGTGACCTGAAGGTGTTGCATACATAAGAGTCCTAATCACAACCCTGGGAAGCAGGTTCTATCCCCCCCATTTTACAGACAGGGAGACTGAGACACAGAGCTCACATCTCTTGCCCCGTTGTTAATCCCAAGCCCAGCACATCTGCTCCAGGGTCCTTGTTCTTACGCTCCATGTGACCCTGTCGTCCGAGCTCCTGACCACTGTTGTCAGCTGTGACCAGTGGGAACCGGGGAGCAGAGGGGCAAGTTGCTGAGGCTCACACTGCCCCCCAGACAAGGCTGCTTCTGCCACAGCAGAAGGTTCCACGGGGACCACGTGTCAGGGTGGCTCACCGGGGGCAGAGACTGCACGATGTCGCTGTGGTAGATGTAGCCAGTGTGGGGCAGCACAGAGGTGGACGAGAAGCCAGACAGCGTCTTGCGCTGGGCCCCAAGCAGCATGATGTTGCAGGCGGGCATCTTGGAGAGGTTGGTCAGGCCCCCAGCCACCCCTGCGGCAGGAGAGAGGGAGGGAGGAGGTCAAAGGAAACACAGCACTTGTTTGGGGGCTCACCGCACACTTAGTGCCTTAACCTGAGCGTCTGGTTGAGTTCCCGAGCTGGCCCTGCTAGGGAGGGCTGATGGGTCCCGCTTCGGAGGGAGGACTCAGAGGAGGACCAGAAAGGTGAAACCACCTGCCTGAGGGTGCACAGTGCGGAGGCGGCCCAACGGGAGCCCCCAGAGTCTACAGAGCTGCACAGCCCCTGCTCTGTGTTAGAACAGCGGCCACCAGGCTGGGGACGCTCTGATGACGGGGCCTGGTGTCAGTCACCCCTGGGTTCCCGTGGGCTTGTCTCCAGGCCCAGCGCAGAGAAGCTGCAGATAAAAACGTTTACCTTTCACGGGGGACTGCTGTGTGCCAGGCTCCGCACTAGGCGTCTTTAAGGATTAGGTAAGTGATCAAGGCATGATAACTCCCAAGTGAGCAGAGCGCCCCCCGCCCAGAAGCTGACATCAGAGTCCCCAGAACCTTGGTGCTGCCTTATAGGACCTAAGGGACTTTGCAGACACAGTTAAGGACTTTGAGAGGGGCGGGAGGGAGGGGAGGATTCTATGAAGCACAAGGGTCCTTGTAAGCTGAAGGGAGAGGCAGAGAGTCACAGGGATGTGAGACAGGAGACTTTAAGGTGGGGAAAACCCGGAGCCAAGGGTGCAGGCAGCCTCTGGAGGCCAGGAAAGGCCCGGAAGCAGACTCCTTCCGCTCCTTTCTCCTAGAACCTCCATAAAGCAATGCAGAAGCCGGCCGACACCTTGATTTCAGCCCGGAAGTCACAGGCAAGTAGCACACCGTCAATCACCACTGGGGAAACTGAGGCACGTGAAGATGGGAGGTCAGTGAGGGGGAGGCAGGATCCACACCTGAGGTGATCTCGCCCCGAAACCACCGCAGCCCCGCACACACCTGCCACTCCAGGCTGCGCTAGGAGCTGAACCGTGTCTCCCCAAATTCCTGTGTCGAAGCCCTACGCCCACGACCTCAGAATGTGGCTGTGTTTGGAGACGAGGCCACGAAACAGGGGATTCAGGGGGAATGACATCACTGGATGGGCCCTGACCCAGCACGACCGGTGTCCCCACAAGAAGAGAGAACACAGACGCGCAGAGGAGAGGCCAGTTGGGCAGACAGCCCCCTGCAAGCTGAGAACCCAGCCTGCCGACACGCTGCTCCTGCCTTCTGGCCTCCCAGCCTCCAGGACCCCGTGACAACGGACCTTGGTTTTTAAGACCCCCACTGCCTGCTGCACCCGCCTGTGCTACTTTGTTATGGCAGCCGAGCAACCTAGCACACAGCTGCTCCACCCAGGTCCCCGAAGAGCCCCTCAGCTGAAGGGGCTAGGAGCCCGAGGGGGCGCCTGCTCGGAGACGGCAGGGAGTCTGAGGAGGCCCACCCTTCAGTCCCAACCCATCATCAGGACTGCTGTCCCCATCTCATGGATGAAACCATGGTCCCGATGGCTCACACCGCCTATGCTGGGCAGCCCAGGGGTCTGTGCAGAGCCGGGAGCTGCCGGGACGTGCTGGCCGAGCAGTGCCGGGGTCCCCAGCAGCCGCACCGCCTCCTCCGGGCTGGTCAGGCCAGCCCTCCTCAGGGCCACCATTCTTTCTGCGGGTCTGCAGGACAAGCAGGCTGGCCGACCTCTGTGATCTCCAGGAGGGATGACAGGGAGAGAACAGGGCACTGGGGCCCTGGGCCAGATGCCCCGTTTCATACGTGAGGGGTGTGGCTTCTCCACGATCACACTGCCCAAGGTCAGCCCTCTGACCCCACTCTGCCCCAGGACCTCACCCATGATCTTTGCGGCTGTGGACGCCCCGATGATGATGGAGAGGTTGGGCGCGATGAAGGACATCCGAGACTCCACGTACTCGTAGATGCGGTGCTTGGAGGCGTTTAGCTCCAGTGCCATGTCACAGGCCTCCTCCAGCCGCTCCAGCTCCTCCTCCGACAGCTGCTGCCTGCGGTGGTTCGGGACTTAGGGATATGGCTGGGACAGACCCGGCCCCTCCTGGGTACCCTACCTGACGGGCACGGGAGCCCTGTCCTTCTGGCTGTGTGCTCATGCGCACACGCACGTGTGCGCACACGTGCACATGTACACATAGCGTATGTGCATGCACGCACGTGTGCACATATATACATGCGCGCAAGCATATAGGGGTGCACACATACATGCGTAGGTATGACGTGTATGCATGCACGCACGTGTGCGCGCATACACGTGTAGGCACGGCATATACACGCGCACGCACGTGTGTGCACATGTACACACAGCATATATGCATGCATGCACATTGTGCACATATACACGTGTAGGTGCAGCATATGTATGTGCACACACACGTGCACATATACACATGTAGGCACAGCACATACACGTGCATGCACGCATGTGTACATATACGTGTGTGCACATATACACGTGTAGGCACAACATATATGTGTGGATGCAGGTGTGCGGCCTCACGGCTACTGTAAGTGCTATTAGCCCGGAAGCGAGGGTTGCTGGGAATCATAGGTTTTCAGTCAGCACCGCTTGTCAGCCCGGGCCGGCCCCTCCTCATCCTCCAGGCCTCAGCCTCGCCGAGCACCAAGGTTCCTGCCCTGCTGCTTCCCTCGGGCACCATCACCAGCTGCGATCCACCGAACCTCCCGTCCACCTCTGGCGCTAGACACCAGCCCCCCAAGGGGACCCCACCCCAGATTCTCAGCAGCGTGCCCAGCACACCCTGGCACACGGAAGGTGCCGGGCTAGTACTTGCTGAAGGAAACCACAAAGGTGGGCTGTCATCACTGTCACTTTACAGAGGGGACCCGAGGGCAGGACGGCTAAGGGACCCGGCGGCCACAGAGCTGCGAGCCGGCAACCAAACCGGGCCATGCCCCTCCCTCCCTCAGTTGCCCCGTCGCGCTTATGGCGCACAGACGAGGGACCGTGGAGCCCGCCGTAGGCCCCTACAACCAAAGCCCAGTGGGCTGAGGCTCAAGGCTGCTCCCCCCAGTGGCGAGCTAAGAGCCCAGTATTCTCCCACTAGAGACCCTGGCCCCTGCATGAGGCTGAGACGTCACCTCCTCCAGGAAGCCACCTGCCCCAGTCTGGAGAGACGCCCCTCCTCTTGCGCCCCAGGCCACTCGGCACCTGTCTGCACTCTGACACTCGCCCTCCAGCCTGTGACCTGCGTGTACACCTGCCTCTCCCCAGACAGGAGCTGCTTTGCTGAGTTCTCTATCTCTGTCCTCAGAACAGTGCCTGGCGCTCAGTCAGCATTTATTCAGTCAACAGAAGTGCAGCCCGAGGGAGGTCTCCACGCCACAGGGCTGTTCTGGAGCTAAGGACATGTTCTTCTCTTAGACGCGGCACGGATGCCACAGGGGCAGGCAGACACCAAGGGCCCCAAACCAGGTCCCTGCCTTAACGGACACCTTCGTCCCAGCGAGGGGGAACGTGCCCGCGACAAACGCTTGTAACCCAGGCTGGCCCTCTGCCTCACCACTCAGGACCCCCAGACCCCACACTCACTCCACACACGTGGGACAGAAACGAGCTGTCCTCCTGAGACAGACACCCGCCCACTGGGACCCTGCGATCCTCCTCTGCCATTAGATGGGCCTGCGGGGGCCCCGGTGACTCCTTGCCCCTGAGCACGCACCCCTGGGTGGTGGAGGCGGTGACGCTGACGACCATGATGGTGGCGTTGGTCAGGATCTGCTGCAGGTTCTCGTTGTTCTTGCACTTGTCCAGGCTGTTGCCCAGCTCCTGGGGGCGAGAGGGCAAGACAGGGGAGGCCCGGAGACTCAGGGAGGCCCGAGAACCTCTCTTGCTCATGCAGCCATCTGGGTCTCTTCTGGGGACACTGGCAAAACTGGGCTCTGTACACAGAGGACCTCCTACCAGTTCCAAGAACTTCCCTGCTGAAGGCATCAGCACCACAGTGCTGATCCAGAACTGGCCACCCAGGGAGGCCCCGCCACCCACATCAACTCGGAGCGCAAACACAGCCATGCTGCTTCCCTGCACGGACGGCCCCCTACCATCCTCCTCCCCTGGACTCACGAGGGAGCCTCCTCGCCCGTGTCCCTGCCTCCACCTAGGCCTGACCCTCCCACGGCTTTCCCGTAAGGCCCAAAGCCTTGGAGGTCAGATGGCATCCGGCCTCACCAACTTTGTCTCCCCACCGCCGACCGCCTTGGGGTCTTGGCGCTCATAAGTTCCCCCAAGTCTCTGCACGGCTTCCCCTGCATCAACCTTCAGATTTCCACTCAAGTGCCACCTGCTCCAAGCACGGCCAGAGAAGCACTGGCCGACACGGGGCACCCCCTCATCTCCCTCCCTGCTTCCTCGGCCTCAACCAGCTCCGGCCCTTCTTGGGAGGCCCACCCAGGGAAGGAGTGGGCCTGGAGGTGGGCAGAGCAGCCTTGAGAACATTCCTTCCAGGCTCCACCCCTTTCTTGCTGGGAAGCCTAGAGCAGCTCCTGGCCTCAAGAGAACAGGGAGGGCAGATGAGCCCTCAGGAGCCATGGCTCCAGGCCGCTCACCTGCTCTCTGTTCCCAGTGGCCGAAGGCTGACTGAGGGGAGCCTTTCCCCTTAGACCCAGGGGTCCAAGGGCAGGGCCCTGCCCCCCATCACTCAGTTCTTCCTGAGTCCCCACTTTGGTGCACTCACCTTGACCGTGCGGATGTAATCCAGTGCGTTGGGGACCAGGGACTCCAGTTCGGGGAATCGCTTTGAGTACTTATCCCGGATGAACTTGTGGATGATGTCTGAAGTGGACAGAGAGGCGAGGTGTCTGATGAGGGGGCAGGCGGACTCTGCTGGCTGTCCCCAACATCCACTGCCCCTCTTCCCTTAGTGACTGAAGCCCTGAATTTAGCGGGGCTCATGGCCACCCAGCAAAAACACCGTTTCCCTGCTGCACGCAGCCACGTGAGTTAGTTCTGGTTTACGACACGTGATCTGAAGTGACATGCACTTTCCAGGATACCCCTTAAAGAACTGTGCCCTCCTCCTCCTTCCTCTTTTGCTGGTGGGATGTGGAGGTGGGCAGTCACCTTGGACCCTGACACAGGTGGCATATCAACAAGACAGAAAGGGCCTGACACCAGATGCCACGACTTTAGGCCTGGGGTCCTCACCCAGACTCTCACATCACAGGAAAACACACTTCCTTCTCAAATAAGCCACTCTGCTACAGCAGCCGAACCTGGCCTTGAACTAAATGAGGAGTCTGGGGGCAGGACCCTGGGGAGGCCAGTGGGGAAGGCGACCAGGATCCTGCCTCTGCCCTCCTTGGGGACTGGAGGGGGCCGTGAGGGACGCCAGGCAGGGCCATCTCTGCCCGCCCCTCAGGGCACTCACTCAGTTCGTTCTCGATCTCCACGGTCAGGTTGTTAGCGTCCACGATGACCCGGTATTCAGGGGCCGCCTCGACTGGTCCCATCACTGTGAGGGGGAAAAACAGCCTGGGTGTGTGTGTGTCTAGGCTCCCGCAGCTGGGGGGAGACGGGGTGTGGCTGGAGGGGCTGGAGGAGTAAGCCTGGAGGTGGGTGTGCATGTCTGCAAACCTCCCATCTCTCCCCCTCCAGTGCGCCCTCCAGGCGTCACGACCCCATCTTGCCCTGGAACTAACCCTATGGCAGCTCCCCACACCACGAGGCCACGGGCCTAGCTCCCCAGACTGCCGTCTGAGGCTCCCAAAAGACAGGAAGCCCTGGGAGAACAAGAACTGTGTCTGTTTCCCAGGGCTGCCCCCTCCCTGTGCCCACAACAGCGCCTGGCACACTGGTGCCACTCAGGGGTATCCGCCGGCCTCTGCACCATCCCAGCCCCACCCTCTCATGACGCCCCAAAGGGCTGACTGCAGTGCCTGAGCACCCAGGGCTGCTTTGCTCTCCTCTGGGCCTCTGCATATGCTGTTCCCTCCCCCTGGTACATCCCTTCCTCACATCGGTTTCTGAAACATTCCTCTCCAGGTTTCAACAACGATCACAACAACGATGGTGAAGGTATCACCATCAGCAGCAGGAGCAGCGGCTGACACACACAGGACTTACCGTGTGTCTCCCACCGTCCCAAGCATCTTGCAGGCATTAACCTCTTACCCACAACCAGCCAGAGGTGTGGGCGTCAAACTAGACCAGTGTTGCACAGAAAGAAACGGAGGGACATGGCCTGATGTCACAGAACCAGCAGATGGCAGAGCTGAGATCCGGCTCCAGGATCCACATTCTTAACCCTGATGGCTCAAGTGTCTCTACGTCCCTAGGACTCGGAAGGCACCCCGGAATCCTCTCTGCTCCCTCGGCACCCCCGCGTATCCATTAGACACAACCGCCACCCAGTGCTGAGATGTCCCGTGCCCGCCTCCCACTCTAGACGCCCGGTGACATCAGGTCTGACTTAACCCTGAGCCTGACCCGACACGTCACTTTCACTGCTCCCCACAGCTCGTCAGATGGAGAAGCCCCCTAGCCTGGTGTTCAAAACCCTGCAGGATCTGGCACCTTCTTCTGCCGCCATGAGCACGGCAGACAAGCGAGGCTCTACACACACAGCTCCTCCCCAGAGCACGTGGCTGCTGTTCTCCATCTGGTGTGTGTATTCACACTTCAAAGTCCGTTTCAGGTACTGGCTCTTCCCTGGCCCCAGAGCTGGGGTCAGCCCGCCCCTCCAGCGGCTCCAGAGTCTGGAGCCCCCTCCATCCCAGCAGGTGCTGCCCACCAGCAGCTGCCTGGACCTGCCTGTCAGCTCCGCCAGAGCCTGAGCTCAGAGCGGAGAGCTGGGCCGGTTCCCCAGGGCACCCAGTGCCTCCAGGGGCCCGCCACTGAGTGCCTCAGGAAGACTTT